AAAGAAACTATTAACTTCCAAGATATGTATCAAAGAAACTATTAACTTCCAAGATATGTATCAAAGATACTATTAACTTCCAAGAGGAAAACTGTACAGGTGACAAAAAGATGAATAATTAAATTATTTACTTAAAAAAGAAAACTAAAAACTTAAAAAACAGATCACGCCAAATCAATATAAGGGTTGACGAAATCGCCTAACCACTCTCTAAAACATAAAATGGCTGTACAACTTACTCAAATGCGTATTTAAAAATTAGTTAGGAAGAGAAAAAGAATGCTGTGATTTAAATATCTAAGTTTTATCAGCAACCTCTTCAAAACTATTATTAATTGTTAAGTACAATATCTATTTAAGTAAAAAACTGATTATTAGAACATTAGTTTTATGAATAATAATTTAAAAAAATTGTATAGGTAAGATATATAAAGGAAGCAATTTTAAAAACTGCTTGACCAAGAATGAAGATTTTAAAAAGAATTGTTAAAAACAAAATTAGTAGCAGTGTATGTATCAATAACATGCAGTTTGGTTTTAGCCCAAAGAGAAAAACAGAAGCAGTATTTATTGCTAAAGTAAGTTTAAGAAAGATATTAGAAAACAAAATCTGTACATGGCAATAGTTAATTGACCTAGAAAAAGCTTTTGACAGAGTACCAAAAATTCTTGATTTTGAAGAAAATATGACAATAGTGTTCTTTTTATAAAATCAAGGAAACGATCGCTATTATAAGCACCATTTGCTAACTCGTATCCAATTATCCCTTAGTTGAAACAGCTGTTATCAAGCTTATATTTTGCCCTCTGTTAGCTGCAGGGCCGGATTTACCTATAGGCCGACTAGGCCACGGTCTAGGGCCCCCAACATTTGGGGGCCCCAAAATTTAATAAACATAAAAAGTTGAAAACTAAAAATAATGTGTAGAAAAATCAAAAATGTTGTAAAATTTATTTTTCATTAAATTCTCAATATTCACACTGTTTTGTATAAATAATAAAATTTTAAATAAAAAAATTAAATTTTTTTTTCCCCAAAATTAAATTATTTTAGGGGCCTCAAAAATGCTTTGGCCTAGGGCCCTCAAAAGGCTAAATCCGGCCCTAAATAATGGTTCCAGCTAACTTAGCTGGAACCGTTATATATGTTTCCGTGTTTATTGAAGCATATCCATAATTAGATGAGGTGTGGAAGTTGAACCTCGTTTTATCCAAAAAAAATAACTTGTTATTATTTGATGAATCTCTCTTGCATAATTCTGTCTTAAATCAAAAGTTTTAAATTGTTCCTTTCTTGACGAATCAGTGATAATATATATATATATATATATATATATATATATATATATATATATATATATATATATATATATATATATATATATATATATATATATATATATATATATATATATATATATATATATATATATATATATATATTGGAAAATAAAATCTCAAAAAATATTTCCATATTACATAAAACTAAACTATTTCTTAACACTGTTTCTTTAAAAAATGTATACTTTTTATTTATTCATAATGCTATCTCTTACTGTAATATCGTATGGGGTTGTACTAACTATGGTAAATTAAAAAAAACTTCATAGTAAGCAAAAACACACATGCAGGATTGTATTTGGTGCACACAGAATTGTATAATATTTATTGCAAACCTCTTTTAAGGAAGCTTGGTGCCTTAAGACTCTCTAAACTTAACATACACCAAGTTCTACAATTCATGTTTAAAACAAAACATGGACTCTCTCCTATTGTATTTCAGTCTTACTTTAGTGAAATCTCGCACAAGTATCCTACTAAATTTTCAATTAATAACTTTGTTGTTCCAAAAACTAAATTAAAACTAAGTTCTTACCAAATCCAATACCGTGGACCGTTTTTATGGAAACATTTTTCAAAGTTTATTTTAAAAAGTAATAATGTTGAAAACGTTTCTCTTGAACTTTACAGGAAAGAATCTAAGAGTCTCTTATTCAAAAAGTCTGATTTAAAATATCTCTTATAAACAATAAATCTTATAAATAATAAAAATATATCTTATAAATAAATACATAAATAATTTAAATTATCTAAAAAAATAGTTATTGACACTATTTCTTTTATTTTGCAATTTTAATTTAGTTTTACTTTTTGTCGAAAAACTTTAATACTTTTAAATTTTTGTTAATCTTTGATATTTAATTATATTTCAACACGTGTAACTAATTTTATATTTCACGTTATATTTCAACACGTGTAACTAATTTTATATTTCACGTTATATTTCAACACGTGTAACTAATTTTAATTTTTATATATTTTCTATTTTCACTATTTCTAATTTTTACTATATACTTTATTATTGTAAATTTTCATTTTTATATATAAACTGACGATTTTTCAATGTAAATGGGGCTCGATGAGTTTATGTCTTCTGCTTGCTCCAGCTTTCTTATTTATTAACACGATTTATTTTATTGTAAATTTTAATATACGGCAAAATAGTAATAATAATAATAACTTCTTGGGGCACCTCAATAAAAAATTAAAATTTTTTTTTTACCTTATTTATCAATTTAAGTCATACAGACAAAACTGGATTAGGTGCGGAAAACGTACGATTAATATGTAGAAAATACGATCCATTGAATGAAGTTTTTGAAATCACAAAAAAGACAGTGAATGGCTCTGCAGTGACAAAAAATTGTATCCTGTTCAGATTGAAAGCAAAGGACAGATCGGGTATCTAATTGGGAAGGCTGCTAGTTCAAAAACTATCCATCCAAATGAACCAAAATGTCCTTAAAGGCTGCTTCAACCATAGTAACGGCAACAACAACCATGTCAACTTCCAAATCTGAGGCAGAATATCAAGAGTCTGAAGATTTAAAAAAAAAGTCCACAAGTACCAGCAAGAACTACAGCAAAACTAAAACTGCAACTAAATTAGTAATATCTTCAAAGTTATCAACTTTGAAGATATTACTTCAACCAGCTAAACAGCAACCATTTGTCGACAATTATCTCAAGATGAGTAACTTTGATAGTAAACGTACCATCACCAAGAATATCAAATTGTCAGTCAGTAACAAAGACGCTTTACTGAAAAGAAACTGGAAGAACCTCAATTCATTGGTTGTCAATATCATGATCTTGACCGAGCCTTTCGCGTAGTATTGGATAAAGAACTTGAAAGAAACAACATGTCACCCAATATCGAATATCCGTTTCCCGGAGCTTTAAAAGAACAACAAACAGCTCAGGAAGAATTTCAAGAAAAGTAAAGAAGTGATTAATGAAACAGTAGGGTTCGTGATGATATGAAATTTCTATTTATTTAATTTTTTAAACTTTTTTATTTTGAAGAACTTGAAGTATTTTCTTTTTCAAGTTTCAGAAAATCCTAAATTAAATAATGCAAGAATTTTTGAGCATTACTAGCTCTTTTGACACTTGTTCTTTTACCAGAGAAAAGAGACTTATCACCCAACATTTGTAGATTTCTACAAATGAGCGAATCGTTGTTCTACTGACTAAATACAGCTTAGATTTATTTTGTATAACAAAACATAAGAATTGTATATTACGCTTTAATTAAGCTGAATACTAGACAACATTTTTTCTATATATACAAAAGCTATTTGTGCTTGTAGAACTGTTATTTAAGTTTGTAATTTTTCTGTAATTTACAGTGCTATGATGTAACAATAAACTGTTAAATGCTTAAAAACTACATAGCCCCCACTTTTTTCCTTAAGGATTTTCCTTTCAGAATTTTCTAGATTCAGAGGACGTTTTAACTTCTTTCGAGGCCCTGATAACTCTTCAACTAAAAAAAAAATAGAATTTTAACACAAGAATTATAAAGTTGTTTGAAATTTTATCCATATGCATATATAATAAATTTAAATTTTTGGTTTGTGAGGTGACCTTTTTTAACAAGAAAATCGAATACAAATATTCTTTGATTTACATACCGATGTAAAATGGAAATGTTTTGATTTATATACCTATGTAAAATGGAAATGTTTTGTAAGAAAATACGTTAATTGAAGCCTTGTAAACAAAAAAATCTAAAAAAGTATTACGCTTACCTGTCCCGAATGTGAGAGCAATAAGTTAATAAATTTTTTTTGTTTTGCATAATATATTAAATTTAAATTAATCGACAAGTTTTAAGTTTCCTTTAATATTCTTTTAACTATGTAAAATATAAACGTGTAAAATTTCTGCCCTCCCTAAAATGAGGGGGATCTAATTTTGTAACTTTTGAACACTTAAGGTCGTAACTTTTGAACACTAAAAGATTATTAGATGTAATTTAAAATCTGTCGACAAATTTAACTTTAGTATAATATGCAAAAAAAAAAAAAAAATTGTTTTAATAATTCATTGCCTTCACATTCGGAATCAGTTGGGGTTTACTTTTTTAGGTAGTTTTGTTTCCAGGGTTCTTTCATTTAGATATTTTTGCAAAACATTCTTATTTGACATAAGTATGCAATTTTACGTGGGTGTCATAACCTCCTCCACCCAAAAACAGAAGTTATAGTCGGTTTTTTGAGGAATATAGTCACTCAATTTATGAACTAAATTAAAAAAAGAGTATACTTAATTTGAAAATATTTTGCTTGCAAATGTAGTATGTATGTTACCCCAGAATTCTGTTTAGATATTCAAATCTAACGATTCTTGTTTGGTCCAATTTAGATTTAACGTCAGAGTTAGGCTGAACTTTGTATAATAAATTAATAATAAAATTTTAACCATATCAGTGAAATAATTTTAGTAATAAATATTAAATTATAAAATTTAAATAATATTTTCACAATACCAGTGAAAAGAATAGTTAGATTTTTTTTTTAAACTTTTATATTATTTCTAGTAAGTAGGTTTTTTTAAATTAGTAAATTTAGTTTATACCTAAACTCGTATCAAGTTCAAAATTTAAAACCTGTCAATCAATTTTAATTTAGCACAAGAAAAAATTTAAGATAAAATAATGATTAAAAACTTGTTTTTATTATTTTGTGTTGTATTATTGCTTTTGTTTGTTTAAATATTTAGATCTACTTGTCTTTAAATGACGCCTTTCTTTTTTCAACAAATGCATCCATTCCTTCTTTTCTATCAAGAGTTCCAAATGTGGCATGAAAAAGTCTTTTTTCAAGGTGACAACCTTCTTTAAGAGGCAGTTCAAAACCTTTGTTAATAGCTTCTTTACATAAAGCAGTAATAAGCTTTGAATTGGCTGCAATAAGAGATGCAGTCTTCACAGTCTCATCAACAAGTTGATCTGCAGGTACTACTTTACTAACTAAACCAAACTGAAGAGCTTCTTGAGCATTTATAGGAACTCCAGTAAGACACATTTCCATAGCTTTAGATTTTCCAACAGCTCTTGCTAAACGTTGTGTGCCACCAGCACCAGGAATAGTACCAAGCAAAATTTCTGGTTGACCAAACTTTGCTTTATCGCCAGCATAAATAATATCGCACATCATAGCAACCTCGCATCCACCTCCTAATGCAAAACCATTGACAGCAGCTATTATTGGTTTAGTACATTGAGTTATACAGTCCCAATGACTGAGAAAAGAACCGCCAAGGACATCTGCATATTCTTTATTTTGCATCTCCTTAATATCCGCACCAGCAGCAAATGCTTTATCACTACCAGTTAAAACTATAGCCCCTATGCTGTTATCTGCTTCGAAGCTTTTCAATGCTTGAGATAAATCATTAAACAAAGCATTGCAAAGGGCATTAAGTGACTTTGGACGATTCAAACGAATCACACCAACATTGTTTTTTTCGCCAGCTATTTCAACCAAAATGTTATCATAGCTAGATTGTTTATATGTTTGATAAAACCTTTGGCACAAGAATGGCAGTCTTTTATGAACAGAGTTGCCCAATAATACTTTTAGCATCTATAAATATATAACAGAACTATAGTGTAAAATTAAAAAAAAATTACAGTTTAATTATTAAAATGAATTTTAGTAAACCAAAATAATAGTTTGTCTAATTTTTGCATCAAGTTATTATAAACATTGGTATACAAAATTTTATAAGAAATGATATATAAACTTATATTTTCATATAAAATTACATTTGTAAATTTAAAAATGTATTGCCTAGATCAAACAAATTCCTAGAAACTCAGTTGTGGAATTGATGGAATTTTTTTCTTTAATTTTGTTTGCTTATTTTAAAACATATTTTCACAATCTAAAACATTACATCTTACTTTAAATTTTAAATATATACAAAGCTTTGAATGATTAAAATGTATATCTATAACTATTCGAAAATTAAATAGGTAAAATGTGTACTTGAATAATTAAAACTACAAACTATACTTTTTAATGCAAAACAATAAAACACTTTACTAATTCAAATTTTAGAAAAATCATATGTACATTCAATCAATCAATCATTTATTTCACTTTATAAAATAAAATTATTACAAAGCTAGGATCAGTCACAAAAAGATATATAACTGACAAAAACAAGACGACATTTAAAGTTGTGTGCAACTTATTGTTAATCTAGTATTATTACTATAGATGAAATTACAGTGACATGACATTGGTACATATAACAGTGACGTGAACCAATTTCATAACAGAATTATAACTTTATAATATGCAATTTTGGATTATTCAATGTTAAAAAAACAAACAAACTTATTTCAAAGTCTTAAAATTACAGGTAAAACTTTCTTAACACTATTATTAATAGTGTTAAGTTTATTAAAAAAAAGCTATTTTTATACGGTGTTAAAATTTCAACTTAAAATTAGAAGTAAAAACTATTTTTTTAAATTAATGAAATATTAGCATGGTATTTTTTTGCTTAATTTCATTAAATATATTATTATAAAGTATATTGAGTATATTATACTATTTTAAGTTATATATATACATATATATATATATATATATATATATATATATATATATATATATATATATATATATATATATATATATATATATAATTATTATAAATATATTTCAGTTATATTTAATAATACAATATATATATATATATATATATATATATATATATATATATATAATTATTATAAATATATTTCAGTTATATTTAATAATACAATATATATATATATATATATATATATATATATATATATATATATATATATATATATATATATATTATTATAAATATATTTCAGACAACAGGTAGATATGTAAACAACAGGTAGGTATGTAATTTTGGTGCCAGGTCTATAGTTTTTACAAGAAAAATATTATTTTAAACTTTGATTAAGTGACGCATGGAATTATTCACTAATCAACTGTTTACAAAAAGCATGTCTGTAATTGGAAATAATTGTATGAAAAGATGGTAATCTGTGTTTTAAAAAGCATGAGAGATATACTATCATACTTGTTGTAGCCAAAAAACATTTTACCACATTTGTTGTAGCAATACTGAAGGCGTACTATTGTTTTATCATTGTAATTTTGCCAGAGGAGCACCATATAAACAAATGCAATATGATTCAAACAATTTAACTTTTACTCTGGTAGAGCATAAATGAAAGTGTCTAATTAAAATACTTGTATGTGTGTAAAGACCTTTACACACGTACATCTCCTTGGTTATATCAAGGTCATCAGTTAGGTCATTTTTAACTATATGGCCAATTTATTTAAAAGATTTGACAAAAACAACTTTACAGCCTGATATGCATAATTCTGGGAAGGAGTTTGATATAATTTTTGATTTTTGAGTTGGGTTAAACACCATACATACAGTTTTCTTTGTGTTAAAGGACATGTTAATTAAGGAAGATTCCTTATTTGTAAAGCTAATTAGTTTTTTAAGAAAAGACCAAGATGGTACAGTTAAAACCACATCATAAGCATAAGCCAACACATTCATGAAGATGCCACCTATATTACATCCAATACGTAGGTTTGAGATTGATATATATATATATATATATATATATATATATATATATATATATATATATATATATATATATATATATATATATATATATATATATATTAATTTATAAAAATAAAGAAAACAACTTTTTATGGTACTAATAGTTTCATGCCTAAAGGCAATCATCAGCCATGTAATACAAAACAAGAAACAAAAAAAAACGTTAAAATATAAAGTTACAGTGGAGTGTGCTCCACTAGTTTTTTTGCTAGTTTTTTGTATTTTATTGCAAATACAAAATATCATACAATATAATATATATATATATATATATATATATATATATATATATATATATATATATATATATATATATATATATATATATATATATATATATATATATTATAATTTGATAATATGAATTTGATCATTTATGTAATGAATTTTACTTCTAAATGGCATCAAAAAAAATATCTGGTACTATATATATATATATATATATATATATATATATATATATATATATATAATATATATATATATATATATATATATATATATATATATATATATATATATATATATATATATATATATATATATATATATATATATATATATATATATATATAGTACCAGATATTTTTTTTGATGCCATTTTAGCTATATATCTGGCAATATATATATATATATATATATATATATATATATATATATATATATATATATATATATATATATATATATATATATATATATATATATTTATTCTTTTTAACACACAAATTACAGGTAAAAAAACAAATTGTATAAAACTAATAGTTTATACTTTCAGTGTAAAAATTTAAATTTTTCTTGGGATGTTTTCCTCCATCAACTTAGTAAATACTGGTCTTTGTTCTCTGATATTCCAGAATTCAAAAGAATGGTTCAAAATTGCCGCTATATTTTCTCCTACGTCATCGTAGCAACGTTTTACCGTTATTTTTTTCCCCTCTATCAAACACTGCACGAAGTTTAGCTCAAGTTGATTGCAAATTTTTATTACTTCGTTGATAAATAGGTTATCTTTAGTAACATCAGATATCTGAGCCAAAATCAGGGAAAAATAAGTTGTATTGTTCAGTAGTCTGATAAACAGATTTAATTTGTTTCGAATAAGGATGGTAGATATGTTATCAATTTTAAAGAAGGGATGCAGGTAGTTTTTGCTGTACTTCGATATACTAAATAGGAATTTTAATGCTGACCTTCCAACAGCGTCTAGTTTATTAAGAAGTGAATTATTATAACAACAAATTTCTAACCCGTATGATAAATTCGGTACAGCCAGTGATTTGAACAAGTGTACTATGGTTAATGGTTGACAAAAACGAATACCCGATTTTATAAGAGCTCTGGATATTGATTAAAACTGAATAATACCTTCGTTTACATTTAATGTTTGAAGTGTTGCTATATACTTTTGTATTATTTTCCCATAGGAATCCGAGGTGTTTCAGTTTATTCTTGAGGTGTATGGAAAAGCCGTTTATTTGAATTGAATTTTTTGTAATTGAGCTTTTACCGGATATAATAAACTCGGTTTTTTCAGTGTTTAGTTTGTTATATAGGTTTTGGCATTGTGACTGAACTTTATTAACCAATTCTTGTAAACCAGAAAGAGTAGGACTTAGTAGGATTATATCGTCTGCATAAGCTATAATACCGGTGTACACCCCACTTATCGTTGTTCCAACTTTGCAATCTGAAACAATTTGATTTAATATACTTTGAGTGAATAAATTATATAAATGTGGTGATAAAATGGATCCTTGTCGCACGCCTTGAGACAAACGGAAATGATTTGATATATGCCCAAGGTATAATATACTAGCAGTACCCGATAGGTATAGTGATTGTAGTGCACGAACTACTGATAGCGATAATTTTTTGTCGTAATAAAGTTTTTCAAACAACAATTCCCAGTTACAGCTATCGAAAGCCTTATTTGCATCTAAACTACAAATATATATTGATGAATTATTGTTATTGTAATACTTTATTGTTTCACTTAAAAGAAACTCTGCATGAAGAGTGGAGCTATTATGTTTGAATCCAAATTGGTGAGAGTGGCTATCTGATATTTCCAGACATTTTTCCATAATAATATATTCAAAGAGCTTTGTCAGAATTGCCGCGATACTAATTCCGCGATAGTTATCGGGATTATCAAGAGATTTTTTATAGAATTTCACTATTGGAACAATTATAGATGTTGATAGGTACTCCGGCACCGCTCCATTATTGAAGATATTGTTATAAAACTTTGAAAGCCATGTAAGTAGATTGTTGTTATAGGAGTATTTAAGATGTTCTGCAGTAATTCTGTAGGAATCTCGTGATCTATTAGATCTAGGCTTAAGAATACAAGCTTCGATGTTGGAAGTTGATACAAGAATTTTATTAGGCTCATCAATGAGTTGTGGAATACGACGGTGTTTGTTGTTGTTGTTGGTAATTGTGGAAGTGTTGAGAATGGTACAAAAGTTTTGTCTAAGTTTTTCTACTATTTCTTTTTTATCTTGTTTTTTATTAATAGTAAAAATACAAGCGTTGGGATTTGATTTAAATTTTCGGATATTGTTCCAAAACTTTTATGGATTACTTTTTCGAAGAGATTCAATATTTTTGGTAATTTTATTAATTTTTAAGTTGTGAGCCGCTTTTACAATTTTGCGGAAATTTTTTCGAGCTAGCTTGTACTTGTTAAATGAACTGCATTCCTGCGATCTACTAAAGTTATCTTTTTTCCATTCTTTAAAGTGGAAAGAGAGAATATCTTTGCACGATTTAATTTCTGGTGTCCACCATGATTTAGAGTAAGCTCCTGATTCTTTTTGTGGAAAACAGTCTTCCATTGATAAAATAGCCGCGTTGTTTATTTTTTCACATGTTGTTTGAGATTGTTTCTCTATTTCTTCCCCAATAAAAGTGTAATCTTTGAAAAAATCGGAGAGATTCTGATTATAAATTTTAATAAAGTTATTATCATTCCATGCATACTTTGGGATTTTATTATATTTTTTAAGAATACTATTTACAACTGGTGTTAGACTTTTATTTTGAAGATTAATATTTGTAATGATGGGTAAGTGATCACTCATGTTTAGATGCGAAGGAGGAATAACATGGCAGCCAGTAAAGCATATTGATGATTCTTTTAGTACTGCGATGTGATCGATATAAGGTGAATTATTCAGCGTTCTATGTTTATAGGTATAGGTTGGACCAGTACCATTAATTATGTCCAAAAAAAAGAGCTCATTTAATTCAAGAAAATTGGATAAATACTTAGAAAAGTTATTTCGTGTTTTATTGTTTCGGATTTCCGTATCATATATATTTTCTGGAAATGACTGAAAATCGCCTGCAATTATACATTCTCCTTCATCTTCATATGTGTTAATGATGGAGTTTATCAAACTAAGTTGAGACATATATTTTTCTAAGGAATTAGAAGTATTTCTGCATGAAGTAAGATAAACTCCAATAAAAATAAAAACAAATGAACCTTTTATTGCAAGAATGTGTTCATCTTCGTGTATTACTTGAAGAGACAACGGTAAGCTTTTACGAATTAAAAAACATTTTCCCCAAAAGGTCTTCCGTATTCTTTTTTTTCGGCCGGCACAGTGAAAAAATACTTGATGTGTCGGAGCTGCTAGATCATTTAAAATAAAACGCTCAGCATTTGAAAGCCAATGCTCGGATATAAAAATTATATCGAAGGAGTTAATCAAGGTAGAGATATAACAGGCGTTTGATTTAATACTTTGACAGTTATATGCACAGAAACTAAAAGTAAAAGTTTTTGAATTTATTGTGCGTTTACCCATTGTGATTTCGGATTTAGATATAGAGCACGAGCTGCATATTGTTGATGTTCATCTTCAGATTGACTTTTTGTTATTGACTGCGATATTGATGGTATATTGTTATCAACGGTATATGAGATCAAAGCTTTTTTTGTATTTAGATAGAATGCTGCATTTGAAATATCTGCATATTCGTGGTCACTATTAGTTGTTTTTCTCTTTAACAAATCATATTTTTTTGTTAATTCAATTTTACTCAGATATTTTAGTACTGGAGTCAGCAAAAGAATTGTCTAAAATTTTTGAAATGTGAGTTTAATCTCTAATGCTGTAGTTTCCATTTGAAAGTTGAACCCTAATTCACACAAGAGTTGTTTAATGTGGCTGTAAACTGTTGGTAATTGATATTGTTGTTAAACATTCTTGCAGATCTCACAGCTAAACAAGATCTCACAGCACAACAAAGAACTTGTTAGATGGTTTTGACTGAGGTTATATGTTAAATAATTTTATAGCAAACCTTCTTTATCTACTCAGTCGAGATATATATTTTAATTGCCAATGCAACCAGTTTTTAGACAAGACAATTTTTTTTTTTTTTTTTTTAATTATCTTCGCTTCCAACAAGGCTGCAAGCAACTACTAATTAGTGTTGGAAGTTACTGGAAGAGAAAAGATGAAGATTGTAGAGCAAGATAACGATTGACAGACGACTTAAAAGATTGCAAATTATATGAATCAGGAAAGCAAGATAAAGGAAGTGAATTCCAAAGAACTGATGTTCGAGGAAAAAAACTAGACGAATAAGAGTTTTTGGAGCACTTAGAAACAGTAACAGAAAAAGGATGAGACTTAATTGAATGAAGAGTAACACAAGAATGAATTTTAGTAGATGGCACAAGAGACGCTAGCTCTTTTGAGCAGTGCTCATTATTGTATTTGTAGAAAAGAGAAAGAGAAGCAACATTACGATGATGTGACAGAGGTTGAAGGTTGGCTGCAAGAGCAGGTCTAACTATGTTTACAATGCGTTTTTGCACCTTGTCTAAAAGAGAAAGGGCATCATTAGAAGATCCGCCCTAGATATGGCAACAGTATTCCAATCAAGGCCGGATTTGAGATTTATAGAGATAGAGAATAGAATCCAGAGTAAGAAAGTGACGAGCTTGATAAAGAGAAGCAACTTTAGCAGATGTTAATTTTGCAACGGATTTGATATAAGGTTTCCAAGAAAGATCAGAAGTAAGAGTTAATTCTAGTAGATTAATGGTAGATGAATCATCGAATACATTACCGTTCATAAATATAGGAGGGTCTAAATTATTGCGATGACGATTGGCCAAATAAAATTGAGTTTTATCTGAATTAAAGTTCACCAGCCACTGTGAGCCCCATGCTGTAGCAAAAGTGAGATCCTTTTCAAGCTCAGATGCTCCCTGCAAGCAATCAGAGGGAGTTGGCTTTTTATCGTGACAAGAATAAATGGTAGTATCATCAGCGAACAATGCCACCTTAGATGTGAGAATATCTGGAAGATTGTTAATGTAAATCAAAAAGAGTATAGGGCTAAGGATTGAACCTTGAGGAACCCCTGAGGTTATAGAATAAGAAGAAGAGTGCTGTCTATCAAGGACAACTTTTATACTACGATTGGAAAGAAAGGATTCAATAATCTTAAAGATGTTTCCAGATACACCGTAAGAAGAAAGCTTATGGAGAGGACCAGCATGCCAAACTTTATCAAACGCTTTAGAAATGTCAAGAGCAATGGCCATAACCTCTCCACCTTTATCTAATGCGCGATAAAACCTATCGGTTATTACTAAAAATTTATTTGCGTAACAGTTTATCTCTTTAAGATTAATGATATAATTATACCATGTCAAGAAATCGAAAACAAAGGGCATTGTTGCAAATAGGTTTTGTGAATTTAATATGTGATGTAATCAATCTTTTATGCGAATAAACTTAACGACATATATAATTATTTAACTGCAACATACAGTTTATTAATATAAAAAAGTCAGCCTTTAGATAAACTATAACATATAACCATAATACTTAACAGCAGGTAAACTGTATATATAATTTTAGTTAATGAAATATTTCAAAGAGGTGTTTTGAATATTTCTATATTAAAAATTTAATAAATTTGTTTTTTCAAACAAATATTTGAGGATGTATGTAAAATTTGTTACATTTATCC